TCTAAACAGATTTATTTATTCGAAAATAGATAATATATATGCAGTAGGTGTTGTACCAAGTAAACTAAATTATTGATTACTCATACATAGTATTGATCCATCCATCCATCGCTATTCGGTGATGTTTATGTGTGTGTATGTGTGCAGGTGTTTTTATTATCTAATCATTCCTTGAAGTAAACATGATACCAGTTCAGCTTTCTAGTTCAAGTATGTTTACTTCATGAATACCCTAATACGTACGGGCGCACGCTCGCACACACGCACATATGCACATACATATGCAAAAACAGTAGTTAGTTAGTTAGTTAGGTAGGTAGGTAGGTAGGGAGGGAGGGAGGTACTGTACTCCTTTGTTTGTAGGGGTTGAAAAACGAAACTAGCCTTCAAGGCAAAGAGAAATATGTATAAAGCTACAAAAAGTGGAAGACCGCCCATGATTTGAAAATAAAAGAGGGTAGTGTATGTATGTATGTGAGTGTGTGTGTGTGTGTGCGTATATACACTGACAGATAAGCTGTACACCCACGATAAGCAAACAGGGTTTCAGGTGTAAATGAACTACATTACACCTTATTATTATTGTTGCATTTCGGTAATAATACAGGTCGGTCATTGTATATTTGTTACACAGTCAGTGTATAATGATGACAAATAGTCATTCTTTGCATTGATTTATTCAATATTTATTCATATTTATACGTTGTGTTGTTATTGGTATATGCACAATAAACGCACACCTATCCAACCACGCATCCACCCACCCCCACACACACACACATACACACAAGGCATAGATAGATAGATATAAATGACTACTGAATTTATTTATTTTATTTATGACATTTTTATATATTATAATAAATAACAAAAGTAATACTACTTTGTACCTGTTTATGTTACATAACTGGCTTCTTGTTATATTTTTCCATTCAACGAAAACAAGCCTATGATTTAGATAAGGTAGGTAGGCAGGTAGGTAGGTAGGTGTTTACCACATCCTTCTGTTACCTGCTACTCATATGATGTCGAGAACCTAGTGGAGAAAGAATTTGAAAAAGTTTATTTTTGATGATATTAGATGGCCGGAGGCAATCGGCCACAGGAAGCCTTGGACCGTGCACTGTGATGCCGAGCTACCTAGAATGGTGGCCGCATTACAACCTGACTGATTGAATTCAATCTGCACCAATGAGAGGTCTGTCTGTCCTGGTGCATGCAACATTATACATTGAAAAACCAATTCGTGTCAGTTTATTCAAGTATCCCTAAAGGTTTAAGATACCCCCCTCACACTTTATTTTTCTTCCTGAATTGATTAGTTCAATCGTTTCAAACTTCATTCTTATTCAAGACAGCTTTGTGAAGGTCATCAGGCAGAAGCACTGGCTTGACATTGTTGTTGTTGTTGTTTTTGGTATTGTTGAAAATCCGGATCGTCTTCCTCATGATGAGTGATGTCGATTTCCCGATTTCATCTGTCTTGCTTTTCTCACCCTGGCTGTTTTGACATCCTCATACGAAGTATAAGTGTAGAATTAATTGTTCGGGGCGGGGGGGGGTGTCTGCCTCTCTTTTGTACTAAATGGATAGTGAAAGCCCTTCAATTTAACTATTCAGCTCAGATAATGCAACTGTAGTGTGCCTGTGCTACTGATAAGACTTATCAGTAGTATTATATAAAATGGGTGAATAATTGTTTACGAATTCGCCAGGTAACCGTGAGGTCTTGTGTTCAAACCCCTTTGGGGTTAGGTGCGTACTGGTGATGATGGTTCTAAGCAATAATAGAACGAGATCGCCTTTCAGTACTCATCTCTGGTTTTCCAATGGTCCTCCTCAACTGATTTCAACCCATGATAGAACCTGTAACCAATATCCAATAAGTTATACTGGCTGTTCACTGTCATTTTAGTGTAGACATTAGGTGTGATCACTATTCTTCTGATTTCTAAGTTATTAAGTAATGGCCTGGGCAGTTGGTTCTTGTATTTTAGTTCTATATTAGTAGTAAATATGAACTTGTGTACGAGCACGAAATTGTACTGAGTTATGATAATCTCATGCATGATACAAAGGTCAGTGTTTAAGTATTAGTTTGACATGTTCTTTTTACAAGATATATCACTAGTATTATATAAAGAGACATTCATCGACACACAGAAATGTCAAATAGCAGAGAAATAGATTTGACGTCCCTAAGAGGGGAGGAAATGAATCAGTGGACTGCGGTAAAACACGGGAGACAGGAAAAGAAGTAAAAGAAAGACGATACACGAACAGTAGAAGTAGCAAGCACAACACGGAAGATCTGTGCGGCGAATGACGATCTCATCATGTTGTATACATACCCCAAAACGAATTGATATGTATATGCAATACACAATTTGCGGCCTGCTTAAAACTTAGGCTATCAAAAACTTCCATCTGTCCATCTATCTCTATGCTGACGATCTGACAGTATCTTTGCGTGTCAAGTGTCAAAGTGACTGCTCGAAACTAAATGGCTTTTTATCAAAAATCAGCCAGTGGTCCAAGGAAAACGGTCTGACCTTAAATCCCACTGAATGTCAAACAGTCAATTTCACCTTTAGGAACAAATCTGACTAACCTAAACAAACTGGTTAGCACTCACGAGGTGTGCAACATAGAAAGCGCTGAAATAGAGACCAAGTCGGAAATTAAATATCTTGGCATCATTCTATCTGCCGATCTTTCCTGGTCGTCTCATATCTTGATGATTTCTAAGAAAATATTCCGTCTTACGTTCTACATCAAGAAGTTAAGACATTCTACAATAACCCAACCCTTACTCTTACGATTCGTTAACTCTTGCATCCTGCCTATTATTCTATTCTATTGCTCCCCCTTAGTTTTTCCCAGGGCTACTGAAGAAGGACTATATCTTATTACGTAGGGTGTTAAAGGTTGTCAGCAGGGTAAGCAATGTTCCACTTAACCAGGTTGTTAATATTCTGGTTGATAGTCACTTGGACTCATGTGAAAAATGGGCAATATCCATTTTATCTAACTCACACCACCCTCCTCTTTCACAACTCTCCCCTTGTATCTCATCAGGAAGAGCCAAAACGCTCGCATTAGCAAATACAAAAACTCAACCATACCCTACTTGGCTCGTGTTCTGTGCGACAAAGGAAGTATTAGGCGTGAAACTTATCACTTATTAAATAGTCAGTATAACAATTGGATCTCGTCTTACCAACTCATATCATTTACAGGTACAACTTTTTGTTTCTTTCTTCCTTACAAACTCTACTTAAAACATTCTTCGTTCTTTCACACTCTGTATATCTCGACCTTGCCGCTTTACCGCTTACGCCTCTAAATATGCTAGTGTCTACTTTTCTAACACCTTCCGACAAACATTCTGTTCAGGTTTGGCTTTGCTACCGACATGCCAATATGTTGTTATCAAAACTAACTGAGATTACCCATAATCTAGGTAGAATTTTATTTATTGTTAATTTACAAACTGGATGCAGTACTGTTTGTTGTGAGATGCTGAGAATTCCATTCTGTATCACAAGTACTGTTTTGGAATAAAGCAAATTATTATTATTATTCTCTCGTTCAGTCTTTTTTAATCTGTTGAGTAATGATCTCTACTAATGATGGTATTATCTACTCTTGTGTATATTTAAAATGTTTACAATCTCCTGATTCACAAGTTCCTACTAAACTTGAGGAATGCTGTATCATCGTAGGTATGGGGCGACCTGTTCCAATACAACAGGAAATACCTTAGTTTGTAAAGTGTCCTTCTGAACATCTTACAAGGTTGGCTTTCAAAAATAGATCGATATCGTAGATTTCTTGAAGAAGGAGATAATACAAGTATACCACATAATGGAATGATTTGTGCTTCGTCAGCTCAGTGAGAGTCTTTTGTGTCACAGGAAAGATATACTGTCAAGTAATTTATATTTTGCTTGAAGATATTGTACAAAGAGGGAAAAGTTATCATGTAATAAACTCCACTGAAAATTCGGTACATTTTAGAAATACTGTCCAGAATAAAGATACTATTTTTTTATGTGGTTGTGTTCTCTGAGTTCAATAGTTAATTTGCGAAGCTTTCATCGCCCGCCCTACTAGGCGACATCTTCAGCGCATACACTTCAATTTGAATTCAAGTGATCTGTTTTAGATTTCTCCACGAGTTTATTAATCATCTCTCCCGGTGACTTTGGAGGTAATTGATTGTTTCTGTGTGTTTTCACACCTTCTAGGTTACTTGTATCGGAACTGATTGTTTCTTTGACTTGAACTTTGACCCTTTGTGTGTGTGTGTGTGAGGTTTCTTTCTTATCGGTTGATAAATTTTGTCTATCTTGATATGTCTATTGATTGATGATTCACTGGAATACCAGGAAGCCTTCTAAAAATTCTCTAGTATTCTTGTTGTTTCCTGTCTAATATTTGAACGTTGTCCCAGTCGAATTGATGTCGGTGGTTGTCTGTATGTAGTGATATGAAGGTGAGAGAGTGGTTGTCATGTCTTTTGACGGCTAGCTTATGTTCGTGGATAAGAAGACTAAGAGGACCGTTGTCCACTATGGCCAATGTAGTGATTTTCGCAGTTGTTAAAATTTATATTTTGTAGATGATGTTGGTTTTATCTCCCTTCGTTATTGAGTCTTTTGGTTGACACAGAGCCAACTGATGAGTGAAGTGATTTTGTTGGTTTGTGTGCGACGTCAATTCCTCATCAAAGTTTGAAGAGTGTTGCAGTGATTTCTGAATATCCTTTATATATTGTAAGGCGATTTTCTTTGTGATTTCCGTGGGAGCTTTTGGTTTGATAAGTTGGCTTAGGGGTATATGTTTTTGGATGAAATTCCTTGGATAACCATTCTTTCTGAGGACGTCCATGAGATATCATTTACTTTTATTATTATTGTCATTAACCATTATGATCACTATAAATTATAATTAATAAGCGTATTGTCTCTCTTTCACCCCTCCCCCACTCTTTGTAGGTGATCTCTTACCAGCTGATGGCATAGTTATCCAATGTAATGATTTGAAAATTGATGAAAGTTCTCTAACAGGTGAATCGGATCAAGTGAAAAAGAGTGAGACGAAAGATCCCATCCTCCTATCAGGTAATAATATTTTACTTTATTGTGTGGTTTTTGTAATTCTTATCTATTTCTCTGTGTATATATTTTCTTTTTATGTGTATATTATTATTATGATATCCTTTAATTCCTAGAGTAAAACATAGGACTTCAGCTGCGCGTCTCCATCGCCTTCGGTTTTCTGCCAACGTTTTCACCCCGCTCCAAGTCTGCCCACATGCTTTCGTTTCTTCTTCACATGACCTCCTCCTCCAAGTCACCCTTACACTGACGACCAACTCGCCGCGTGCTTCCCTTCCGACCTGGTTCCACTCGAGCTATGGCTTGTCTAGTGATGTCACTTGATGGTTTTACTTCTCAGTGTATGGCCTCTAGTCCACCTCCATTTCTTCCTGCTTATTTGTTTCACAATCGGTTCCTGCTACGTTGGTTCGCTCATTGCCAGAGATCCCTGTTGCTGATCTTTTCTGGCCAGCCATCTGATCTTGAGTAGTATTGAGCGAAGACAACTGTTAATGAAGGTCTGAAGTTTGTTTGGGATGCTCTTTATGATGCAATGGCCAAGTCTCTGATCCGTATAGTCCCATTGACTGATTTCATATTGGAGTTGCATTGCACTCACATTTGTGTATCTACCTACTACTACTACTACTTATATTCGTCAATCAGTAGTATTATATAGACTCTTTTTGTAAGATAATACTTGCTTTCTCGATTGCCAATTATGGGTAGCAAATAGATAATCGCTCACACATTATAATCTGAATAATTTCAGTCTCCAATGAAAGTAGTGTTACCAGAGTTTAGCCAGGTAGCTAGCTAGCCAGAATTTGAATGGTTTGAACTCCAGACTCGGCTCTTTGAGCTTGAGTCATACCGAGTTCTTTCTACACTGTCGATATGCCTGCTGGCAAAACAAGGGAGTTCTTTTTGATTGGACACTAGTCAGTAGCTAGTGTAATGTGTCTAGTTCTATTGTAACGACACAATTCTATCAGTCAAGCTTGTAATGTGGCTCACCATGCCATTAGGTGGCTTGCCATTACGGTGCACTGTGAATTGTTGGTATTAGATGGTTGGAGGCAATCGACCACAGGAAGCCTTCGACCCAGGTTTCGTGCTAGTGTTGGCACTCATCAAGCAAGGCGTATCTGCAACCTTGAAGGAACTCATTTCCTACCGACTGAGATTCGAACCCGCGCCACCCAGTGCTGCAATCAGAGACGTTACCACCACCACCACTGAGCTATTTAGGCTCGCGATTGACCTCCTACAGGAGGACTGATAGAATTCAGTCTGGACCGAGGATAGGATTAGACACACACACTACACTAATTACTGACTAGTGTGCAATCAAAAATATCCAATATACTCCTACAGGAGGTCAACTAGGAGCCCGAATAGCTCAGTGGTCGTAACGTCTCTGACTGATTACACAAAACTGGGTGACACGGGTTCGGAGCTCAAAAGGGACATGAGTTCTTTCAAGGATGCAGGTACGCCTTGCTAATGAGTGCCAACCAGCACGAAACCTGGGTCGAAGGCTTCCTGTGACCGATCGCCTCCAATCATCTAATACCAACAAAACAAAGGAGTGTTGTTGTCCGGTGGTTAGATCACCTCAATCTTGCTAGGAAGTACTTACTACTCTACTGGTTGATATGAATCATATCCAACTACTCATATAAATCAGTCAGTAGTATATATGTTGTGTTGCAAAATTGTTTTTGACGAAGTTATTGCCTGAAGAATATTGTTTTGTTCTTGTGGTGATGAAAATATTTTACTGTATTGCATAGATTTTTATTGGTGGATGGTGACTACAAGTGGAATTCAGGATAACGCGCATTTCGTTCTGTTTGGAAGTCGTGGGCCGCTGGATGTGCCTGTATTTCCCAGTGAGTAATGATGTTCCCACCGAGGTTCGAACCCAGTGCCCATAGTTTCAAACGCCAAAGCGTTATCCACTAGACCACTTGGGCCACGACAGCTACTTCTTGTGCAACGGGTTATATTAATTAATTAATTAAATTTAAGATTTTCCCGTCGATTGATTGAACCGAAGTGCTCGTCCCTGTTGTTATGTGTTGACTCGTTGTGTGTGAATGCTTCTCTAATGTCTGAGGATTCATATGATGTTACGGTTTACCCAAATGGGTGGCTGTTGTGATCCTACTAATGCATAATAATTGGGTTCGAGTTTCAGTAAAACAAATACTATCACTACTTGATTAAGAATGTAGGTAGGTACATCCGATGATGAGTCCCAAATGAGACGAAGTGCACATCAAGTAACAACATGTATTGGATTGGTGTTTAAACTTTTATCCAACTCTCTATTTGTCTGTCTATCTCTATGACTCAAAGCATTTGTGACTTATCTAATGGACGGATTACCGCTATTTGACACACATACAATATTGGTGTGTCTATACATCTACCTACTACTCACTTCTATTATTGCTATTCCTTTTAGGTTCCAAATTGAACATAGGCCTGTTGCCTGTAATTCACTCTTCAGATGGTTCCACGATTGCCCGTAATCTCTCTCATCTCTTCCTTATATAATCCCCTACATATCACCCAAACGGACCCACTCTTAACTCGTCATATCCCTTTTGAGTTCTACTCAAGCTATAACACATGCATTGAGCATGAATTCATTCGACAGTCTCCTCAATGGTGTGTGTTCAATCCATCTCTGTTTTCTTCCACATATTTGTTGAGTAATTGTTATGTACTCGTCGCTAAATTATTGTTATGGACTGGTCGAGAAACTAATAGTCCTGACGCGAGAAGGCGGAAATCAGAAGACCACTAGGTTTGCGATGATACTTCTATTGTCCAGACACAAGGAGACGAAAATAAATGGTCTCACACCAAAGTGGTAAGTAAGTAAAGCAGTTGTAAAGTAAAGTACTTCACACAAATTGTGAATGCGAATATATATAAATAATTCAGACAAAGCGTGGGAAAAATCATTAGACAGTCTTAACATGAATGGCTAATTATAATGGAGTGTCGATCCAATTATACATAGCGAATATAGCAGACATGCCAACAAACATATATGGATATATGTCACCAAGCAACGGACTGTCAACAAACACTCATATTATATATAATATAATATAAGGAGAATACACATTATTAAAGGAGACAAGTTCACACAAGTGAAGTGGTCACAGACTAACCGAGCAAACAGAAAGAGAGACCAACATACACACACACATAAATATATATATGTGGATACATATCAGTAATGGGTTCTTTGATTGGTTTGTTCCCATAGTTTTTGGTTTTGTTAATTCTTTCTAGTGGACCATCTGATCTTTAGTATGGAGCCGGTGAACAGGGCAGCTGTTGATAAAAGTATTCAGGTGGCTGTTGTTGGAAATGCTTTTGGTGATGATGCGTTCACTTTAAGTCTCTGAACAATATAGACTCATTGATTTATATGAAAAAGAGAAGACGTTCAGCGAAGAGACTCTTTTCGACGGCGAATTCATTCATATGGCTGTACAGTCGCATTTATATATAATTATTTGTGTGTGTGTGTGTGTGAATACATGAGGTTTGTCAAGTTAAGATAATTGATCAGGTAATACAAGAAGGAGATCTAATACAGAAACAAGGTTAATTAGACAGCAACTAAAGTAAGATTGAGTTAGTAGGTTAGGTGACGTAATATAATTGACTAAAATGTTTTAACTTAGGTCAGGGTAGCAACAGAGGTAATTACAGATAGGGATTAAGTAGAAGTGGGGTAGATAATAATGCCATTTAAATTAGAACTGAAATTGAGCAAATAAGTTGGATGACGTAACATAAATGAGTGACTAGAAATTGAGCGTTGGTCAAGTCAGTAACAGTGGTAGTGAGGTGTTTTTTGCTTCACGTCCCCAGTGGAAGACAGGGCCTCAAGCTAGTGGCTTGAAGTTTCTGTAGCAGTGGTAGTTATTTTACAGGATGAGGTTGCTAGCCTCATGCCCAACCTTTCCTCTTAACCAGCGTCATTTGTGGCTTAGCGAGGTAAAGGAGTGAGTCGGTGGCCGGAGATCGAACCACGGACCATGTTCCTTGTCGGCGAGCGTCCTAACCGCTCTACCGACGCACGTGGTAGTGAGGTGTAGAAATTAAATCGGGTAGAGGGAGAGAACAAGAAAGTTGAAAATGTAAAATATTACAATTGGGAAGACAAAATATTACTAATGGAGAGACAGAAGAGAAAAAGATCAGGTAGAATTTACTTGTCGGGTAATAAGATAGATTACGTCCATTGCAAGCGTAGTGGTTGAACGAACTTCTTCTGTATGCATTGTAAAGTCTGAAATTCGTTTACATGTACTGAGTACAATGAAGGTGTCTGTCTGGTTTTGCCGATGTTGACTAGCATTGACATCGTGATTCGTTCAGATGATGCTGCCTCATCTCTGTGTTTAGTGTATTATTCACTCCTTGAAGTCCTTGTCTTCACTGTCCACCCACCCACCTCTTCCAACCAACTTGTTGTTTGTTTTACACCTATAGATCTTCAAGTTTCTATGACCCTTAGACATACATCATATCCACAAAGTCCAGATATTCTAAAGTCTTTTTGTCAATCCAACTCATATACTAGACTTTCCAACCTCTTATGATCCAATTCAGTACTGTCTGGAATATCATCGATAAGGACAGTAAGCAGTCTTGTGTGGGGTCATTCTAAGCTATAAGAGTCCAAGACGAAACTATCTAATATGTTGGCCTTGACAAATCTTCATCAACCAATCAGATGCCTTTAAAGTAAATGTGTGAGTAATTTGAAGGATATTTCTCGTATATTTTCTAACAAAACCTCCCATTTGTTTCTTCATAGAAGTTCTCATAGTTAGGTTAAATGAATTTCTGTGTTCAGAAATTTGTCAAGATGACTGTAAATCATGACTGTGTTTCTTGACCCACCCATTCACCGCTTTGATCCTTTTTTTAATTAGTTGACCACAGAAACTTTCGATGGGATTCATCACACAAATCCCATCGAA